ATACCTACTAAAGCTTGCGGTATAAATCACACATCAATAACATCGAACTGGCGATAAAGTAATGTGTTGCAAAGGCCTACTTTGAAGCTCGGTTAACAGCATTTGACACTTCCGGAAGCTCAACATTCTATTCTCAACTTTCCTTCAATTGTTACAATAAAAAAATGCATGTTCGATAACAATACTAACACAGATAGATTTATTTAATATATAATTACATGCCAAAAAGCCTACCTCGATTGAGCTTTGAGGTAACTTATAACCGCATATTTTTTATTTGTATAAGTGCTAGCAAATATAAAGAATTGCTGATTGCTCAGGAGCTATTACTGGAACATATAATTTAAAGTAAACCTATGATTAAGAAGCGCTGCCTACCTGTTAAATTAAATTAGGCTTTTTTAGGTGGCGCTCACTACATTCCAATATTCAGGCTCAAATAAAAAAATAATGAATAAAAAAGTTTAAAATTCATGAACTCCTCGCTATTAAAAACCACGTGTATTAATAGTTTTTGAAGTTGTTCTTTTTTCTGTATACTACGATTCATTAAAATTAGTATCTTTCTTGTAGGCGTATCACTATGACTTTTAATGTAGTTGGTTATTGCGTTGTGTATACGCAAGATGAACGCGAAAATAACTTTTTGTTTTAATTAAAATTTTCGCTATTGAAAATATTTTTATTGGCAAGAGATTAAATTATTTTTGTATTTCGATTCTGTTTTGTTAAAGTAACAATATCACAATATTTTATTAACTAAAGCTTTTGAAGCAATTATAATTTGTTTTTATACGCATCGAAAATATTTATGACATGACGCAATATTTCTTATAGCATAACTAGCTGTGCCCCGCGATTTCACCCGCGTCAAAATTGTTCGATTTTAAACATTGGTTTTACAATCTTATATATAAAATTCCCATGTCACAATGTTAGTTACCGTACTCCTCCGAAACGGCTTTACCGATTTTAACCAAATTTTATATGCGTATTCAGCTGGTCTGAGAATCGGCTACTATCTATTTTCCATACCCCTAAGTGATAAGGATAAGGGTGGTCCTCCCAGACCCCACCCCAGAGACGAACCCGAACGGAGCGAGGGTGAGTCGCTAGTAATATATGAAAGTCTGCTCAATTTGTTGACATTTATGATTACTTCTACTCTCAATTTGGTAATAGCATGATAATATATATCCTATACCTTTCTACAATAAACGGGCTGTCTAATGCAAAAAGTATTTTCTGAGATTATCGCGTTCAAACAAATAAACAAATTCTGCCCCTTTATAATATATTAGTATAGATATTCTAATTATATAATTAAGCGAATTATTGTTTTATCCTAAGTAACGTTTACATGCACTTTCCATTAGACGTAAACTTAAATATAATTCAAAGTAGTGCTTTGGCATTTCTTTGTTCATGGCTTTAGTTATGTAGCTATATCATTTATGTAGTGTTGTGCAGTAAGTATATATAGGTCATAATTATTTTTTATTTCAAATTAATTTATTATAATATTTCAATCTAGTTAGATACGAACGCGCTTTATAGAATAGAAAACAAGGCCTTTCTATTCTATAATATCAACATTACTTTAAATACTTTATTTTGATTAAAGTTAGTACTTGTAAGTAACTTAGACTTTTTTAATTTTCATCACATGCACAAGATTCTTATGATCTTTATTCTTGAATGTATGGTTTCAGTCCTCTATCAAGGTATGTTGCTTGTACCCTACAGCCAAGCTCCATCTTAAACGCAATCTCGATACAACGTAATCTTGCAAATATTTATCGCATGTCAATACAATATGCCAAAAGCGAACGCTTATTATTGTTTTTATAAATGTGCACAACTTATAGTATTTATGTGTGGTACAAGTTAAAGTTACTTGTTATACTGTTTGTACAACAATAGTTTTAATTTTGCTTTTCTATACTATTAACGTTTTCATTAGATAGCAACTATAATATACTCTTACTTGATAATATTACTCTACTTATAATGATATGATAATGATATTCTTACTTGATATTGATTATAATATACTCCTACTTAATGAAAATATTTAAATTCAATTTTTATTATATATATATATATATATATATATATATATATATATATATAAATTAAAAAAAATCATATCGTTATCGCATCACATAGACTTTTTTCTAAACTAATTCGTTCCTTTATTTAATTATAAAAATAAACATAACTTGAAAATAATAATTAATTAATTAAACATGAATATTTCTGATTAGTCGCAAAACTGTTAATGTATAGAAACTCCACTATGTACCTATTCTGTGAAGCACTATCTATTGATTCTTATCGAAAACGAGTACTCCTTTCATGTAGGACGATACAACGTCAGTTGATATCAATAAAGTAGCTCATGTACGTGCTAATGAGACGCTAAACTTTCGACATCACGCACCTCAACATTTTTTCCATTCAGTATTTAGAATCAAAATATTGATATGATATGGTAATCTAAAAGTAATCATAATAAAATAAATAAATATGTCAGGACATTAACACACAACGCCATCTAGTTCCATGGTAAGCTACGAGGCTTGTGCTATGGATACCAGATAGTTGATACATTATACATATATAACTTTAAATACATACATATTATAAATATAAACACCCATGACTGGAGTACAAACATTCGTGCTCATCACACAAACGAATGCCCCCAGCGGGACTCGAACCCGCGACCGCTGGCGCAGCAAGTAGGGTCACTACAAACTGAGCCAAACATGTCGTCCGTAATAAGTAGCTCAATATTTAGAAGTAAATAATATAAAATTAATTTCTTTGTATAAAAGTCACTGTTTTTCGTGATATGTACCGTAGTCACTTAGTAAAGAGTTACAAGGCATTGTACAGTACAATGGGAGGAGGAGTGCTTGCTCGCGGCAACCTCGTGGCAACCGTGAGATGCTACATTGTATAGATCAGATTTTCAAGTCAATTAGGATTTTTTTTAATTTCTTCATGTACTTATATTGTATATTATAAAAATATAAAACTTAAATAATCTTATCATTATAAAAGTTTTTCTATAATATTATTTTTACATTTATATTTTATAAATTTATCGCTATAATCGTCAATACATAAAAATGCGACAGCAGATAATTTATGAACACCTTTAGTCGTTATTGAAAGAATGAAAGAAGGCGTATTGATAGAACTAGTCCTTTGGGCCAAGTAATAATTCAATCAGCATCCTTTTTATACATATTTGAGATGTTTGTTCTTCACACTCTAAATAGTATTTTTATTGAGTGGCACTAAATAAACAGCTTTTATTTTTAGAAGTATCACGCAGACTCCCACACTGTTAGAGTAAGCGATACGAATACACGTGATTACTTTATCGATGCGCATGATCTGCATCAGTATCTCTGTTCTGAGAGCGGATCACGCGAGATGAGGATCTTCAAGATTCACCGCAAGACCTTTAAAATACATTATTGAAAGTGGTTTGTACAGTAGTTCTTGTATATGTATAATGTATATTGTATATATTTTCTTATAGTATTAAATAAGCAATTCTTGTATATACAATATACATATAAATTCGTACATACATATATTCATTTATTTCGTGTGTCTCGAAAGCAGCTCTAACGATTTGAATTAAATCTTGTATTAAGATAAGGTTTTGCTTTTGAAGTTTATCTGTCTTTTCTGAAAAAAAAATGCAATTTTCTCATCGGTAGATGCTATTGCCCTGTGACTTTTAACTCATTTTTTTGATATTTAATCCGTAAATTATACCACTGAGCATTCTTTAATTTGATTACGGTAAAACTATTAATAATACTATTTTATATTAATATGTCTGTTGATATGTCTATAAGATCATGGTCATAAAAAGATATCAAAACCAATTCACTTTATCCTCGCAAACGAGTTAATTTATACTATTATGTTGAGAATATCTATTATCTATATCTAACCCATAATTAGTAGGTTCGTCGCTTCTCAGTTGGTATTGTATAATTTCATATAGCATAAAACAATTGTTGATTTTATACACCATAGAGTATCATTATGCGAATTCTACAGACAATCAAGAAGTATCTAATAGTGTCTAAATTATCAAGGAAAACAACATCAAAGCGTCGGCAGAGATCCAAGTTCGGATTACCTTACATGGCTTGACGGCAAGAGCGGGCGGTCCATCATACGCTTCAACCGTTTAAATGGTCATAATTGGTCAAGCGAGCCTTAAAAACGGTATTCTATCATGGGACTATAGCTTTTAACTACTTCAATCGTGACTTGCTCAATACAATCAAATATTGATGTCGAGATTTTAATATACATTTGTTGCACTTCGATAATTGTCTCACACTCAGAAGACCTACCTTAGAACAAAAAAATATTAAAAAAATTACACGGACTATCTACGGCTTGTTGAAAGCTGTGCGTGACTGAATATGTATTCAAAACTTATATATATTTAAGTACCTACTCCCGTTGTCAGAGGCGATGAAGTGATAAAGATGTTTATTGATGATCTTCAGTTACGTTAATTGCCAACGCCGGCGCTTATGTTTCGACGAGGCCAAGTCAACTCGAGCGCGAATGACAAAGATTTGAGCCTTGATATTATGCAGAGTGTCGGGCGGCTAGCTTTGATCTCGAAACCAATTGACAAGTTCTACCAATCGCCAATCAAAATATTAGTTGGGATATCTGCAAAAGTATAAAGGTTTCCTTATTGTATTCATTATAGAAGCTTATAATACTCTCAACGTAGAATCAACGTCTTAAACCTGCTTTGATTATTATTGATTAAAAATCTTCAATACCTTTTAGTTCTTGGTATTAAAATGTTGTCTTGCAATATATGGCGGGGAATTCGGTGGCTATTCTAGGATTTCACTAAAAAACCTTATAAATGATCAGTATTATACCGAAAAAGGCTGTTGAAAGCAGAAGTCGTACTATAAACCTGGCATGCGACACGTTCATACAATAAAACGTAGAGAATTAATTCTGGCATTTTGTTCAAGGTCGTCACGTTTCATACTGGCACCTGAAAAAAAGTTTCGATACAGATCCTTAATGAAGTGGGTATGTGCATAAGTCATAAATTAAAAGAATAAATATGTTGACGGGTCTTACTGGTCGTAGTAATTAACATGGCGTATGGCGGCGCGGGCGCAGCACGAGGCGCGCGCTCGCCGGTTGACAGGTCACTCACACTCTTCACTGGGCACGCGGCCTTCGCGAAGGACGGCTCAACCATACATTGCACTTTAGATATTCCTATTTTCATAATGAAAACGTTAAATTGTCGTTGTTTATTTTTTAGTTGCTCAGAACCAGAACGATGGCATTTTCAATTTGTATCTAATTATGCTTTCTCACTTACTTATAATAAACTGTTGAAGTTATCATTTAAAGCTATGGCAGGATATTTCTTTGGGAAACTGTAGCGTACAATTCCCAAATTATATTAAAAAATGTAAACAAAGTGCTTGACACTTTATTTAAGTATGTTTGAATCTGTGAGTGAACTTGGTAGTTTGAAGTTTCTATTCTATGGAGCTGTAAATTTAGACTAGGCTGTATGGACTATAGTCCTTTGCCTTTCCCTATTGGGGATAAATTTTAAAAACAATAACTATGGAGCTGTATGTCAGATTGACCGTTGACGTATTGATACCGCATTGCGAATTAGTTTATAAAAGTTTTACTGTAATTTGAATATTAATTAAATAGTACTGATTAAGAACGGTGAAACAATAGCTTTGAATGTTGTTTCTCTTTCTGGTGAGTTATTATAATTAAGGTTAAAAAATATATTAATTTTAAACTAGTTATTGTAATTAAATAAAATGTAATCTTTCAGAGCAACAACTTCAGTTTTTGTTTCAATAAACAACTTATTACAAAAATATAAATAATTTTTAGTAACATTTGCTTTATAAATATTATTTTATTGCGTTTTGGATAGACACTGGTTCGTGTAACATTTTTTAATCAGTGTGCCGATGGTATTATATTAAATTAGTTTGATTAAAAGAAATACCTCGTTAAAAGTAATTAGATAATAGAACACATAAGATATAAAAAATAATCAAGTTAACCAATATAGGAAAATATTTACGTTCACAAGCCCATCGAGCCATCAACTGGTACTTGCTGTTTAAGTCATCTTTTAATTATATGAAGAGTTGACAGCGTGATATGAATAAACAAGTCACGTTTATATAAGTGAGGTGATTATGAAGAATCCATGTATTTATTTAAAAGTGACACTTAATAAAAAAAACGTATGAAGTATACCTACTCTGGTTTTTTACGATTTGTACTCACGTACGTACTCGTATATGGCGCCTCACCTAATACATATCTAACCGACACCTGCGACGACTGGTTTTGCATGTGTCCAACCACATTTACCACTAATATATTTTCAAATTATAATATTCCAGTAATAGAAAATCTAATAGCTCTACATTAGAAGTTATTTTTATTTCTTCTACGTACCATAGTTTAATTATAAAGAGATATCATAAATATTCAAATTCATTTTAATAAATTTTCAATATTTGTAAAAAGTTAATTATTATTTCTGATACAATTTATACGGACACGTTAGTGCAGTACTTAAACTAAATTCTCCTTTGACAATCACAGATTCGTCATAATTATACGGCAAAAGTTTGATTTAATACAAATATTTACTTGTCATATTTTATTTGTTTTCGAATGCCCAATATAAACTATTAACAGTATTTTTTATCTTTTTAATTTTTATTTTTATTTATAATTTTTAAATATAGTTTAGTAATAAATTAAATTTATTCAACACTTTATAGTCTCATGTAGTCTTTCGATTAGCCACACTATACTAGACAGTAGATCTTGGCGACCCAGCTTCTATTTTTTATAGCTAGCCGGAATACGGGCAACGGGTTTGTAGGTGAGGATAGTGCCGTGCAGAATCCTAATACATGCAGGTAGCTGTCCAAAGGGAACCCGCATTCTTCTACTCGTTGGAAATTATAATTGCATCCACGAGACGCTTTAATGTATCGCTGGTATCTATTCAATTATAAAACGTACATAGACTATATCTCGGTACATTACAAGCTTATATGTCTGCAATAATACAATGAGCAATTTAATTTTTCTTTCATTTAACGTAGTAAGTTTAATATATTCTTAATGAAAAAAATATTTAGCTGAAACTTAAAGCTTTTTAAAATATTATTTTATTCTACGAAAAATGTTTTACTTTATCGAATTATCTGTATTTTGTTCCGATTATTGATGATTATAAGTATGTATTGTAGTAGCTCTCCTAAAAGTTATACTTCTCAAGAAGCTGCTGTAATAGAGATTAGCTGAGCTAAGTTCCTATGTATATATTGAAATTGTTTTACTGTTTTAAATACGAATGAATAATTTTAAACTCATATAATAATTAACAAGTATTTATTAAATAGTTCGAAAATAAATTCTATTTTAAGAACTTGAATTTATTCAATTGATATTAGAAATATTTATACAGAATCGCATTTTCTGTGAAGAAATTCGAACACCTGTGTGTCGTCGTAGTGGGCTGTTTATCGTACACATTTGCATAATACGCATGCCAAATAAAACACCTCGATCATAGTAAAGTATGCATGACTAATTGGACCCTCTAAGTTTTGTTTTAGACGTCTAAGTAATAGTCTTTTTACCATCCTAAGATAGGTTTCTTAGAGTAAATTGTTTTATAATCGCACCATTCAACGCTTGATCTTAAGGAATGCTGCAATCAAATATACTTTACTTCTACCTTAACGTTCCTTACCTTATGGAGTAGGAAGAAAGAAAATAGCGCCTTCTCACTTTGTTGTTTGTTTCTCGCCGGCGTAGAGACAATATTATAATAATAAGCTACACTTATTATATATTGTCCTGTAGTAAGTAAAATACGCACAAAAATATGGACAGATATAAGGCATCTAATACGTGACTAATTAATTTTTAAATACTATTAATTATTAAACTTTATTTAGCTTGTATTTTCTTAAGCGGGATTCGAAAGCGCAACCTTTGTCATAGACAGATACTTGGGCTACTACGCCAGGCTGTAGTCGGTTGTATATTTTCGATATGCGAGAATGAAATCCGTAAATTTGTATTTTTGTTCGAGTTCAATTCTGTTAACTCATGTACGATACCAAAGTGTTTTTAAAAGAAAGAGGAAGCAAACAATAAAAAATTATAATAGATGATTTCTTTTATTCTCACAAAATTAAGTTAGAGCACATAAAAGAGTTTGTTTAGAACATTAGAGGTTTTTAGATGTTATCATCAGTGTTTGGTGTCAAAATTCTCGCATCATGCCGAACACATTTGAGGCGATACCGATCAAGCCGCTTTGTTCGATGATCACTTTGTAAACAAGAATAGCGGGAGTCCATATAAATCATTTTTAAATACAAAAAATAAGTTCTTTACAGCGTGAAGTAGCAAGGCATTGAAAAAACTATATATTTTTTACAGTAAAACTATTTTACCAATTTATTAACTTTTTAAAGGTACTATCGTATTTCACATTAATTTCGTTCAACATGATACAATAAATAGGAATAAGTATTACCTATATAATATAAGGTATATTATGTAGGTAATATCCCTGATACTCCCCATAATGATTCGTAATTAAAAAAATGCTAAACGTAATTAAAAAAAACCTATAAATTCATTTTATGTGTCTAATTATAATAATTCAGTCAATTTTAGTCTTTGCATGCCGCATTACCTCTAGTTTGAGGGTACTACCATGCAATTGTTTATTCCAACTAGAACCTGGTCGCTAGTAGTTTTACGGAGAAGATCTCGAGATAAAATATTGCCATAGGGCAACAATCTTTAATTATCTCAACTTATAACAGTTGTAATTTTTTTATTTTATTTTTTGAGTCGTTGTCTCTGGTAGAGGACACGGGTTCGATTCCGTATTAAATGAGTATTTGTAACATATGTTTGGAATTTTAGTCAGTAATTTTGTTCTTGTGGGAGAATATACATGGTTTGACAAATCACGAATCAAATAAATCCTCTACGAATCTGGTATACCTAGGCACTATTTATTTTATTTTTACATTCACACCGTACGCATAATACAAATAAAATAAAGAATTGTATCTATCGTACTGTCCTTCGGTAATCCTTTTTCTAGCCTATATATTGTTACTCCACGTCATTCGTATCTGTGTACTAAATTTCGTTTAAATTCATTCAGCCGTTTCATGTTGAAGACGTAACAAACATACATACGCATACTTTAGTAATTGTAATAATAGTGTGATTTAGTTATCACTAAAATCCCGGTAAAAAGAGTTAAAATATTCCGTAGATCTGTTGGTAGCAACGGACATACTAACATTTTCAACGGTTACCTTTAACTGGACATACCTTACAATATTAAAAAAAAAACTTAGTTGTGATAATCACATACTTTAATAATATTAGTGAGACGTACTCATTAATTGAATTAATAGTATTAATAGTGATATTAATTTATAAATAAATAAATAAATAAATATTAATAAATAAATAAATTACTTTGCTGTGTTAACATTAATTCTTTGTAGATTTCATATAACAATTGATTACTGTAGACTGCCAAAATTAATTCAAACCCTGAGGCCTTTGAGTGAATCAGAACGTCTTCAATCATATTTCTCTCTAGGGCTTCAATCATATTGCTATTTTATTTCAATGTGTGTGTTTTAAAAAGAAATATTTGTAGAGCTTTTTTGATTGATTGATAAAATTTGAACCGGATAACGAGTATTTTTTTAGGTATTATTTGTATCAACTTTTATCTGAATATTAAATTTTGTTTGTTTATTTAAAAACTGATTTTAAGAGCGCTTATCTAAGTGTATCTAAGTATATATATAATAAAATTGTAACTGAGCCGAATCTGTACATTAAATATTTTTTGAAAAATCTATGATACGATCTAGATACGAGGCCGAATCTATAGTTTTTAGAAATTTTGTGTCTGTCTGTCTATTACCGCATCACAGAAAAACCACTGGAGGGATTTTGATAAAATTTGGTATGGTGATAGCTGGTTATCCGGGTCAACATATAGGATACTTTTTACCGCGGAAAAATGTTTCATTTCTGAGAAAAAATACAAAAACTGCAATATAAGAGTATACTAATATGTAAAACCTAAGAATTTGGTTTTTGGTTATCTGAACGCGAGCGGAGTCGCGGGCAATGTTAGTATAATATAAAAATGAATGCAGGTACCCA